TTCCCGCTGTTTGGATTCCCCACCAACAATCGGTCATTCAGCAAAATCAACATCTAAAACGATAACTACTCTAAAAATTCGATAGGAAACCTGTTTTTGAATCGGCTGCTTTGTCTCACCGTCCAGCAGGAACATTTCTCCGAAAAGAATCACTCGATCGGATGGTCGAAAACTATTCAGAATCCCCTAAAACTTGCTGATTTCACTTTTTTTGGGCACAAACCGCAATTCCGTCCATTCGCTGCATCAAAAGCTGAACCGGATTCTGATGGGCAGCCGTGGTAGCGGAAGAAACAGTGTGAAGAGACGACCGATCATCCCCGGCCATACCGAGAAGATTTTCTGAAATATTGATAGTATTTTATACGTGTTGGCTCTATTATGTCCAATCTTTCGACAAAAATTGCCCACCTATTAAATTCTTCTGCTCCGAAAGCATCGAGCTGATTTGGTAGATCTCGCGCTCCAGGTCTAAACGAGGTTTTTCACGCTAAAATAAAACCCACGTGATATTTCCCGGCTAGCATCGATGAACTGGTGATAATCCTTGAAGACATTATTTTTCAGCGATTCCTAGGAGCCAATTTAAGGTCGTTGACGTTGAAAACCTGGGCTTCATGGTTGACAGCCGACATCTCGGTGCGCAATGCTTTGAGTTGTCGAGTTTCCTGCCCATCTTTCACGTGATGCAACCGTTGTCGAATGTCTAGAAGTGGTTTTTTTATCTTATTTATGTCGCTTTATGATTTCTATGGATGAGAAACTTACATTCCGAGGGGCTAAACGCATCCCCCTCGAGAACTTCCTTTGTATTGGCTGATTGCCGCGAGGAGACGGTCCGAAAACTCGCTCCGGGCGAGGACATGATAACTTTAGGTAGGCCTTAGGTTGTAGATATCAGAATTTTAGTTCTTACTTTAATTTTGTTGCCTAGATCGCCGTTGTGTATCGGCATTCAGCCTTCAGGCTCCTCGTTGGTTTGGACTACACGCTACTCCAATCTACATCCAGCCGGTAGAGCTTGTGAACATTCGATAAGGACTGCTTAAAAAGTTTTAAGATTTTTCTTTGAGGATAAAAAAACTTATTAAAAATTAAAATTATATTATGGTATAGCAACATTGGGACTAATACGAATGCTTGAACCGCAAGTGTTGTGGTGTGTCTTGGTATCTGCCCGGCAGAACAAATATAGAATCGCGTAGTTCAGCTTCATTCCACGAAATCAAAAACAGCCGTGCGTGCGCTGTGAATCACAATGAAGACAGTTCAGAGGGCAAGGCGCGGCGCGCTGGCTCGTGCATGAGAGGCCAAAAATTGCGGGTTGGTGGCTGGGTAGAGGGGAAGGCGACGATCGTGTGTGCGCGCGTGGCTCGGTAAAACTGAATGGCAAAATAGCGGCCGGCAGACGCTGCACACACGCAAATCGCATACACTATTCACACATACACATGACACACATGGATGGGATGGGACAGAAAATGAATGGTGGTGTGGCTATGGAAATAGGGGGCGGAGTAGGCAGTAGCAAGAGACCGTGAGTACCATATAAATACAGTTGTGGGCTGTGGCACGAAAGCAAAACAACCTGGCCAACGTTGGAAGGGCACAATCTCTACAACAGGCGACGCGAATCTCAAACTGGGGGCAAGGGGGAAAAGCACAAGCGGAAACGGGCAAAACTAGAGATGGGTTGATGGCGCGAAGTCGAGGGAGTCGCTGGTCTGCTTCAGTAGTTGTTGTAGTTGCCGTAGTTTGACTTGTGCTAAAAACAGAAGTTCAAAAAAGAGAAAAATCTAGGGTCTGATAACAGTTTTGCAATTTTCTAAACAGTAATTGTCGAAAAAATAGACTAAATTGTAAATTTTTGCTACCTCTTCCAATCCAGCCTTGCCCAAGTTATATTCGGAGCGCCGGCGTGCATCCGACTTGTCGTTCGCGTAGCGCGGGTTGAATGGAGTCTTGAAGTGGCCCGAGCCTCGCCAGTTGCCGCCGCTCGAGTTGCTAGAAATACGAAATTAATAAAAATGAATCGAGCGCCTACTTTTCCTTGTTGTAGCCATCATCTCCGCCTAGCGACAGTTTTTCGAACCCGGGCGCGATGCAGTGGGTGGAGGCGGCCTTGCGCAGGTGGCCCAACGAACGTCCGCTGCCGCGCGCACTGTCCGAGTGCCCGTCGTCGTTTGAACGGTTGTCCACCGGTGGCTTCTGTTGAGGCAGGTGCGGCCGGGTACGCTAAAGAAAAATATGAGACTGAGAAAAGAAGGTCCTAATTTTTATGCCTATGTTTGTATTGTTTGTTTGTTAGCTTAGAAACCGTAAAGAGCGCTGAGAAGCAGTGAAAATCCTGCCAGAATTACTAAAAAAACCCAAAAACGCTAGAAAAAAATTACCGGCTTTTCTTCATTGTACTTGAGCTGATAGACGGGGGCGCCGGTGTAGCGGCTGCCGGTCTGGTAGCGCGGGGTGCCCATGCTGGCTCGTCGCATCGCCGGCGGGAGCGTCTTCTTTGCCTTGGCGACGAGATCGGCGACTAAAATGACTACATTAAAAATAGAAAGTTTTATTTACATTCTTTCTCGCTCCGATCCCCCGGGTGCACGAATTCACAGAGGTCGCCGTAGCGGCATTCCCCGCTTCCGCCCTCGAGGAAATTGTTGCACACCTTCGTCTTGTAGCGCGGGTCGGGCTTTTGGGAGTAGTTGTTCGGCTTGGTCTGAAAAAGGAAATTATAGTGCTTCCCGTTTAACGGTAAATTACCGCGCACATCATGCATAAAAGCTCACCGAAAAAAGCAAAGCAAAAATCAATCTATAAAATCTCCAGAAAAATGTACCAAGCTCTGCAGCTCGCCTTGCCCGTGCGCGTATCGGCAGTTGGCGCCGTTGCGGCAGGTCTTGGTCATCTGGAAGGCGTGGCAGAGGCGAGTCTTCTGCCCGGAGCGGTTGAACTGGCGCGTGCCCGGCTTCGTGAAGGTCTGCTGCTGCTGGTAGGCGGCGCCGGCGTCGAACGTTGTCGAGCGGTCAGCCGACCTAAAATTCGGATTAAAATGGAAAACATAAAGCATACCCATTCGCAAAGCTGCGGCCCATCACCGTCTGCGAGGTTTGCACGACGGGCGAGTGCTGGTTGTGGCCGCGCGGCTGCTGGTTGTTGATGTAGGCCATCTCGTTCGTTGGCAGCGGCGTGGACGTGCACAGCGGGTGTAGCGATTCCTGGGTGATGTTGGCCCCGAAACCGGCTCCTGGGAAACAGAAAATTCAGGGAAACATTAATAAGAGATACCACTCTGCATGTTCTGCTTGTAGTAGTGCTCGTTGGACTTGTACGACTGGGCCGAGGCACGCTGGTAGATGGGCGTCGAGTTCTGCGGCGAGGTCAGCGTCTGCTCCTCCGGCGGAGTGGCCACCATCGGCTCGTAGTAGCCGTTGTGGAAGGTTGGCGCGACGTAGGGCGGATACGGCGACATCTAAAATTCAAAAGTTTAAAAAATGAAGGATTGCTTACCATGACCGGGTTCGGCTGACACGGCATGTACTGCCCGCGGCTGGGGTCGTACGCGCAGGGCAGGTAGTAGATCGTGGCCGGTGCGTGCGCGGGGTGCATTGGCGCCGCGGATGTAGGGACTGAAAATACACACAATAAAAATGAAAAAGCATTAAAACAAACATAACACTAGCATGACGATGTCATAAAGAGCAATAAAAACAAAAAGCTCACCCGCTCCGTTGTACTGCTGCTGCGGGTGGCACATGTAGGCCTGGCCCATCGGCTCGCTCGTCGGCGGGTAGCACTGCGGCTGGTACATGTATTGCTGAAAAAGGCAATAAAAATCAAAAATAGAAATTGATACCTGCTGGTAGACGGCTTGCTGCTGCTGCATCGGGTTGCCCTGGTCCATTTCAGAACCTGAAAGTTGCGAGAGTTGAGATTTAAATCGGAAAAAAGGTATCAAATGGAAACAGGATCGGAAATTTCGGGGTCAATAGTAACCAGAAATCATCAAGAAACGTGCTAGAAGGAAAAAGACAGCATATTCTTTTGTTAAAATGAATAAATAATCTTTTATAAAGCAAAGGACACCGAAAAAACGATAAAGCGGGCGTGTAAAAGACTGTAAACCAAAAATAAAGTTTAAAGTGGCGGTCCAAAGCGAAAAAGTCGATGATTAAGGCCAAATTTCAATCGGAATAGGGAAACAGGCTGGAAAAGACGACAAAGCTACAAATTTTTGAACGCGCTTTTGGTTTTATCGAATAGAAAGTCTTTTAGCCGTAGAAGATGATAAAACAGGACAAACGGACGTCGAAAACCATTTTGAGTTGAAGCCTTCCTGGCTATCGTAGTCGTAATCTTACACCCATGTCAACTTATAAAAAAGAGGGCTCGGAAAGTCTCGGAATCGATTCCGGCCCACAAAAAAAATTCCGAAAATCTCTGCAACTGCCGGGGGAAAAGCAATAATCGTTAGGCGGTGGGAGCGGGCCAATTTTTCCAGGGAACCACCGAAAGTTCTCACTTATTGGGACTACGCAGTTACAAATAGGATCGGGGGAAATTGGGGTTTACACCAATCGTAGAAAAAGTAATTTAGCAACGAAGAAAATCGATAAATAAAGGTCTGAAACGGGTATATCATCAAGAATTAAGCCTGAAAAACCCTATGTCCTAAAGAAAAACGTGTGTAGGTGGAGTACTAGGCGACAAGTCAGGCAAGGGGGAAAACGCTTCGGAAAAAAACTTCCGAAATAAATAAGTTTTTTGCTGAAAGGGGTCTTCCCGACTCTTGATGATAAACCCAGTTCTGACCTTTATTTATCGATTTGACTAAAAAAAAACACTTTTTGGGCGAGTACCTTATAATAAATCGGAATTTTCTCAAACCCTCCGCTTCTCGTTTTATAGTGTCGAACCGATCCCGAATGTCGACCTAAGCTTCAGAACCACCCTCAGGTGCCGCCAAAATCAACGAAACAACTCTTTATTCACGTGAAAGACTAGTGCTTTGACTTTGGCAGATTGATGGCCAGGGTACCCGGGCTGATGGCGGCCGCCTTTTCGAGGAGCGTCTCGATGTCGACGCGGCGGTTGTCGTTGAAGTTGGTGAGGGCGATGAGCTCGGCCTTGGATTTTGGGGTCTAAAAGGCTATCTTATTTGCTGTTTCCGCCTACCCTCTGGTCCAAATATGTCCAAAGAGCTAGGGTTTGGAGATAGTACGGGTGATCGAGGCCAAAGCACACTTCAAAGATGTTCATGGCGTCGTAGGCGTAGGTGATCGCCTAGAATTTTAGGTATAATCCGTCAAAATTAATTTATTTTGTTTTTATTTTGTGGTTTTTTTGCATTATCGCGGGAGACCAACTTTTTTTAGGATCATCAAATATAAATTTACTATTCCTAAGCGTGAAAACTTTACAAATTTTTATTAGAAAAATCTGAAAAATGTCTATTTGCGACCTGGAATGGTTGATTTTCGACTAAAATTATACGTTTTAAGACATTTTTCTACAATTTTTATATAGTTTTTCTGGTTGAAATATAGTAATATTTTACGAAAAACACTATTATAACACTTTCTATTAAGTTGCTAGGTGTTGTAGTCGTGGGTAGAGGACGTTTGCAGTAGGTTTATTCCAGGGACAACCAATCGGTGCGGGAACAAAACAAGACAAATGAGGGGGAGAAAACGAAATGGGGGAACACCGAACCGGAAATAGATTAATATACATATAATGCTAATTAGGGATTCGGATTAGTTATGTGATCCTCCAACATCTCCCTCCTTCAAAAAGATGAGCGCTTGTGGGCGGCTGGACTTGGACGAGTTGAGCTTGAGGTGGTCGAGAAGTGGTCGAATCAGGGCACATCACATTTGAAAGCGGACAGTCTTCTTGCGCTGTCGTTTTCCGTCCAGCACTGGTCCAAGTGCTTGCAACTTGTCGAGGCGGGTCTTGCGGGACTGAGCAGCTTGCTCTTGTCCTGGACGAGCTTGTCCTTGCGTAGCTGGAATAGCGGGGTGATGGTGAACAGGAGGCACGGGCTCGGCAGCTGGAGCATCGGCGTCAGCACTGGGAAGCTCGAACTCTTCCAGTATGTCATGAAGAGCATCTCGGACATATCGAGGGCGCAGTTGGTTGATGTGCCGGCGCCACAGTTCTCCCGATGAAAGCTCGACTTCATACAGCGACTTTCCAAGAGGCTTGCAAATCCGTCCCTCGACCCAGGCGGGTTTGTTCGGTTTTCGGTAGTCCCGAACCCAGACAGTGGTGTCGATTCCGAACGAGCGTTTGCGAGCACCGTGTCGTCGGTTGAACTGTTCTACCATCGTCGTCTTCCCCTCCTTTTGAAGAACGACTTGGATATTGCCGTTGCTCGATGGAAGAGCCAAACGCGCAATCGGAGTAACAAGTTTTCTCCCGATGAACATCTCCGCCGGAGATAACTGTTGCGGTGAAGAGGGGCAAGGAGTGGCTCTGTACGTTCGCAAAAAGATTTGCAACGTTTCCGAGTTCGCCGAACCCGGAGCCTTGCTGAGGGCTCGCTTGAAGGTATCAACGAAACGTTCAGCCAGACCGTTCGATTGAGGGTGGAACGGTGGCGTGCGCATGTGTTTGATGCCGTGCTCCTTGCAGAACTCTTCGAACTCCTTCGAAGTGAACTGTGTCCCGTTATCCGAAACGAGCGTTTCAGGATCTCCGAACCTGGCGAAAATATCTCGCAACTGGGCAATCGTCGTACGGCTGGTCGCCACCTTACAATCGTGGATCTCCGGCCAACGAGAGAAGGCATCCACGACGACCAGGTACATCCTTCCATCGATGGGGCCGGCGTAGTCGATGTGCACGCGCTCCATGGGACGATTGGGTGCAGGCCACGGGGTCAGTTCACACTTGGTAGACATCTTCTGGGCTTTCTGACAGCCTTCGCATCCTTTGACGGTGCGGTCGATGTCTGCATCCATGCCGATCCAATAGACGTACTGCTTCGCAAGTAGTTTCATTCTGGTCTGGCCAGGATGACCTTCGTGGAGCATCTTCAGGACACGTGCTTGAAGCCGTTTCGGGACGACAACACGTTCCTTCAGAAACAGGCAATTTCGGTGAACTGACAAATTGGACGCCATGCTCTTGAAGGCGTACAATGCCGATCCTGGCAAACAATCTGGGAAAGTGCCACTTTTCAGATAGTCAATCACCGAGCCAAGGACATAGTCCTGCTCCATTTGAGATGCAATCTCCTTGTGCGAAATTGGAACTCGGCTGAGTTTCTCCTCGAAAACTGCCGACACATCGATTTCTATCTGCGAAATAACGACGTCTTCGTCAGGTTCAGCTCTCGGCGGAATCAGACGGGAAAGTGCATCCGCTTGACCGAACTTGGTCGTGTTACGATATTCGATGGAGAAATCGTAGTTGTTCAACAACAAGCACCACCGTTGCAATCGATTTGCGGTGTGCTGCGGAATGCCTTTTTTCGACCCGTAGATGGGTAAAAGAGGTTTGTGGTCCGTCAGTAACATGAAACGCCTTCCATAGATGTATCGATGGAAGCGCCGAATCGCGAAAATGATGGCCAAGCCTTCTTTTTCGATCTGGCTGTAATTCTTCTCTGCCACAGTCAATGCCCTGCTGGCATGCGCGATGGCCTTCTCGGACCCATCCGCAAATCTGTGTGTGATGACCGCCCCAAGACCCTGCTCACTGGCATCAGCGGCGACGACGATGGGTAGCTTGGCGTCATAGTGGCAGAGCAAGAGATCAGAGATTACTATCTCCTTGAGCGACTGGAAAGCCTTTTCGCAGCCCTCATGCCAGACAAACTTGGTGTCCTTCTTCTTCAACTCGTCCAACGGGGCGCGCATCTGCCGCATACGAGGAATGAAGGACTGGTAGAACGATACCATGCCCAAGAAGCTCTCAACTTCCTTGAGGCAGGTAGGAGATGGCATACCTACATATCCGACCAATGCCGATTACAGAATCCGATTTAAGATGCCGATTTACAAAATGCCGATTTACAGAATGCGATTTTACAAAATGCCGATTTACAGAATGCCGATTTACAAAATGCCGATTTACAGAATGCCGATTCACAGAATACCGATTTACAGAATGCCGATTTACAGAATGCCGATTCTACATAATTTGGGTTTTACATCAAAATACAGACCGGATCCCCAAAAAACATTATCCGACTTGGACATGCGAATTTTCGATTCTTTTTTCCGCGTAGGGGTCGGGGGTTACGAGGATCGCAGCCTCGCGACAAGTTTTACGCATCCTTTTCGCTGGTCGCGAACTTCCAACGTGCTCGCCGCGACAAACTCGACGTTCATTATTATTTCTTGGTTGAGTGCCCGGCCTCATGTCGAGGGAAGGGAACTGTTTTATAGAAAATTTATTTTAGTAACCCATGGGGGCCCTTGGTAACGTGGAACTGGGTTTCGCTGAAAAAGAATAGTGCTAGGCCTGGTCTGGCGGTTTCGCTGTCAGTGGGTATGTTTTTCTGGGGTCCGGTTTGAATTTTTGGTGTAGACCTAATTATGTATCGGCTTCTATCGGCTTCTGTTCGTTTTCGGATTTCGGCTTCTGTTGGCTTCTTTCGGCATCGGCCTTTCGGTTTTGTTCGGCTTCTGTTCGGCATTTGTTCGGCTTCTGGTCGGCATTATCAGCCTATACCGGAGATGGCATACTTGCTATCGCAGCCGTGCGTTGGCCATCCGGCCTCCGGCCTTGGGCATCGAGAATGAAGCCAAGATACTTCACCGAAGACTGGCCGAACGAGCACTTTTCCATTTTGACGCGCAATCCAAACCCTTGGATTCGCTCAAACAAGCGACGGACCCTGTCGTCGTGCTCCTCCTGGTTCCGGCCGGTGATCAACAGATCATCCAGGTAGGCAGCGGTCCCGTCCAGGCCTGCGATCAAGTTATCCACAATCTTCTGGAATATTCCGGGTGCCGTCTTGACTCCGAATATCAGCCTTTGATATTGGAATAAGCCCTTGTGAGTGTGGATTGTCAGGTACTCTTGGCTACCAGCCTCAACCTCAATTTGCAGGTACGCATCCTTCAAGTCAATCTGCGAGAAGACTTGTCCACCGTTCAGCTTGCTGAAGATATCATCGGCAGTGGGAAGAGGGTGATGGAAATCTTCCAACGCCTCGTTCAAGCCGGTAGAGAAGTCACCACAAAGCCTCATTGTACCGTCTTTCTTCTTGACAGGTACGACGGGTGCCGCCCATTGACTGTAGGTGACCGGTTTCAGCACCGTCAACTCAACAAGTCGATCGATTTCTTTTTCAATGGCAGCTTCCATTGAATAGGCGACCCGCCGGAACGGTAGAAAAACTGGCTGTGCATCCGGCTTTAGCTGAAGTTCAGCTTTAGCCATTGTACACAAGCCCAGTCCATCTTTGAAGACACTTGGGTACTTCTGGACTAACTCTTGCTCGAGTTTGGACTTCTTCAGTGCGACCTTGTGCACACACATCTCATCGAAACACGAAGTGAACTGGGGTAGCTGATTAATCCAATCAAGCCCCATCAGCCTGATGCCCTTCGTGACGAAGCACTTGCCATGCCCGACAATGCCCTTCACTTCGAAATTGGTGTCGAAGGCGCCTTGCACTTCAATTGGACCACCGTTTGCAGCACGTAGTTGAATATTGGAGGTGGTAAGCTGAGGGCAATCCAACTGGCGCCAAACAGCTTCATCAATGATGGTGACCGCCGCACCGGTGTCCAGCTGCAAGATGAATCGGATGCCACCGATGGACACTTCGACGTCTTTTCGGCCCGAATCGACGGCATTGATTTGGACCACCATGTTCACCTTCGATTTCCAATCTTTGGCTTCGGGATTTTTCGAATGCTTCGAAAAATTCGCACCGCGGTTATTCCCTTGGTCTGCTCGACACTCCCTGGACCAATGTCCAGGCTTCCCACAGCGGTGACACTTGTCGTTCCGCTTGTCCCGCCGGGGCCGATCATTGGGGTACGGTTGCGCAGAGCCACCCTTGCTAGAGGTATGCTCACGCTCCCGGTTCCAAGTCTTTCGGAATCCGGACTGCTGTTGCTGGACTCGGTTCACGTTGGCTTGCTGCTCAACCACCACATCCATATTCAGGCAGGTTTGCTTGTCGCATTCGCGAAGCAAATCGCTCAACTTTACACCATTCTTCGACTCGAGAATGTGTATCAGTCTCTTGCGAATCTCCCGATGCGCCTGATCGGAGAGTCCTGCAACGAACAACAGACATTTCGTCTCGTCCTCGTTCATTTCCTTTACACGACCCAGTTCATACAGCTTGTTGACTCGGGCTGCATAGGAATGCATATCCTCTTCGGCTTCCTTAGCCACACGGAATGCCAGAAAACGTCGACTGAACGTCGACATTTTCTCACCGAACATCTCTGTCAACGCCTTGACGATGTCGGGATAGGTCACCGCAGACAGCTCCGCTGGTCTGGCGTGATCCGCGAGGAGACCGTAGGCCTTTGCATCGAGCATGCTGAGAACAAGATGCTTCTTGTTATCTTCAGAGATGCGGGGCTCTGTGGACACGAGGTTATTAAAACGCTCGAGCCACTTTTCGAACGTATGCCCTTCGCCGGGGTCATAGTCGAAACGAATGAGACGTGATGCAATGGCACTCAGCTCAACCGCATCCAGAGGCCGATCCGGGCTTGGAAGGGTACCGCCAAGGGGCGTGGACTTACCCTCGCTCTCTTCGCCCCGTGCTCGGGTTGAAGCGCGGATCGCTTCGATCTCGGCAGCCATCTTCGCCTCACGCTCCTGCCCAGCTCGCATCATCTCCGTCATCTGCTTCATCAGCTCGCGCATCTCCTCGTCCGCCATGTTCTTCGTAGTCGAATCCTTGCTCGCCAATGTTGTAGTCGTGGGTAGAGGACGTTTGCAGTAGGTTTATTCCAGGGACAACCAATCGGTGCGGGAACAAAACAAGACAAATGAGGGGGAGAAAACGAAATGGGGGAACACCGAACCGGAAATAGATTAATATACATATAATGCTAATTAGGGATTCGGATTAGTTATGTGATCCTCCAACACTAGGCATTTCTAGACAATGCGAAAGAGCCTCTAGTAAATTACCTCTTCACGATCGTCCTTTTCGATCAACGCCTTGACGATGTGTAGAAGTTGGTAGCCGACGTGACGATCAGCTTTCGGGAAACATCTAGAATTTTTTATAGGTTTTTTCTCCGGTATATTGATTTCTTACAGTTTGTAGTTCTCGTAGACTTGTTTGTGGATGGAGGTGATGTTCTCTTCGAGGGATCCAGTGATGTGTAGGAGGGCTGTGCGGAGGCGGGTGATGTACACGTTCACCGGGTGCAGGACGGATTCGGCGGAGGCGAGCAGTTCGCGAAGCTGGAATAGGTTTGATTATTCGAACCTGATTTCTTAGAGGGGTTGTAGTTTGTAAGAGGAATTTGTAGTTTGTTTCGAGGTACAGGATTGATTTTCAGGTATTTTCCAGGGTTGATTTCGAAGGATTTGGCAGGGTTTCAAGAGGTTTCAAGGCTTGCGGAAGCGGATGTGATTATTTTAAAATTCTTTTTGAGGTAGTGGATGACTTTTGGGGTCATTGGTCAGGTTTAAACGGGGTAAAGTCCTGACCGTGAGGGCTCATACGAGATTTTTTAGAGGGATAGGATGCGATTTCGGGCCATTTTTGTCAGGTTTGGAAAAGGGGGATAAAACCCGGGGAGCTATTTGCCTTTTTTGCCCATTCATCCGGGTTCTTCCTCAATCTCATCTAAAAATTAAATTTTTGTAGTTTTAGAAACTACAAAAAAGGGATTTACCTTCTCGGCCGGACACTCCGGGTCGAACTGGGCGGGCAGGCTGAGCATCAGTTGTTGGGCTTGCTAAAAGAAAAAGCTTGTATTTTGTAATTCATTGATCTGGGCGAACCTTAACAGTATCATCATCGGTCATCGAGCCGCACTTGGCGCACGCAATATAGCACGGCTCCGAGGTCTCGGTGATCACCTGCGGCTCATCGCAGCACGGGTTTGAGCACCTGAAGGAATACTTCGGCTCAATTTTCTCTGCTATTTTGCCTAGGGCTGGGGAAGATTGGCAAGCTAGCAGAGAGCATTGAGGAAGCACAAAGACCTACCTGATCGCGGTGAGAACATCATCGGCAGGATCCATACAACGCGAGCATTCGCAGTCGAAGAACCAGCGGGTCTAAGACAAGGAAGATTTTGTAGAATTGTTAAAATCCTGATACCTTGAGCTCTCGTCTTCGGATGTGTTTGCTGCGGCCGACGTCGATGTAGGAGATGAACGACTTGCTCGTGTCGTCTGAATGAAGGTACTCGTGGTTTTAATAGAGTTATCATCGGTTCGCTCTATTATTTGTCCATTTTTTATTTTCCGGCTGATTCGAGAGGCCGGTCTAATCGAACCGGTTACTTGTCGAAAGCGTCGGATTGGCTGTGCAAGTTGCGCTAATCGTTTTTATCTGAAAAGTCGAACGGATCCGTCCAGAAATTTTGAACTTGTCGAAAATGTTGGACCCTTTCCTAACCGTCTTGATCTGAGAAGTCGGATAAATCCGTCCAAAAAACACGGACCAACCGAATCCAACTACTTTTGAACTTACTGGCATCAATATCGGGCACCAGCGGCCGGATCACCACCCGGAATCCGTCGAACACCATCGAGCAGGTCGGGCGGCAGGAGTGGTTGTAGAGAGAGACACCTAAAAATCGAGATTTTAACGTTATTTTGGGTTTAACTCACCCAAATCGATGGCCATCCCCACTTCATTGCCAGCATTGGTGTGGATTGAGTGGGAGTTGATTTGGATTTTGCAGAAGATGTCGAAGAAGACTTCCTGAAAAAATGGGGGCTATTTTTTAGTATGCAATATAGCGTAGCGGTTAGAATTGCAGCGGGTCAAACTGAGGGTCAGGGTTCGAATCCGTTGGCGGCATATTGTTTTGCTTTTGGTTTTCCGGCTAAATTTTGGAATGGGCGAAAGTTCTGACCCTTTCCGGCATCTCGTCCCCGCGGAATGTCGTCATCTTGTTCAGCAGCTTCTCAAAGTACTCCATTTTCGCCTCGTCTTTCCTAAAATGAGGAACAGGTAAGGTAAGCTGAGTAGTACGATACATACCGTATTTCGTCTTTATGGTCACAGAGCGAGCTGAACGGCCTCTCCCTTTCCCATCCATATTTGTCGCCGTTTTCGCGGATGAATTGTACGCGGTCGATGACTTTGGATTGGAAGAGGATCTCCGTCAGGGGGAGATTGGGGAAAACCTGAAAATGTCCAATTCCTGACAAATACGCATTAATTTTATATGGGTCGAAGCCCGGGGGCGCCGCCCAGGGCGCCTCCCGAGGCACCCCCTGGGGGCCTGCCGAGTGGCGCCTATGGCGGCGCCTGGGGCTGACCAAAAGACGCCGGAAAACCGAGATGCAAAGCAAAGATGCGGTGTTATTATGGAAATCAGATTTGACTGCTGATCCTTAATATCAAAGAAGGCAAAAACTATTAGTTGATTGGCCTATAATTTTTCCATGATCCTTTCCCATTGTAGAGGAAGGGGGTGTTTATGGGGGACCAGCTTTTTTCTAAGGACCTTGTCCTGTAAAAGAAATAGTGGAAGCTTTCCAAACTGTTGTTATTATTCTTAAACGTAAAAAACGTTACCAACTGTGACTTAAATACAGAAAAATATAGATTTTTCTGCGAAAATTGCCGATATTTCCAATCTCACTTCCAATTTCGAAATTTCCGCCTAAAATTCCTTCCAATTTTTTATTTTTTCCACTTAAAAGATAGTTAAATTTTACTAAAAACATTATTAAAAGGCTGACTATTACGTTGATGGGCTGTTCTGAAGTGCAAGAGAAAAAGTTATTTGCAGGTTACTCTCTACTGTCCGTCGCTCTTGCGCTTGAAATGAATAATTAACATTAGACTAGAAAATTTGCATAATCTCACGGCGCGTTGGTGACGCCCCCGCCCCGTTAAAATCATAGGGCGGCGCCCCAGGCGCCACTCGGCACGCCCCGCAGGGGGTGCCTCGGGGGCGCCTTTGGCGGCGCCCCCGGGCTTCGACCCATATATAGCATTAATGATATCTCCAAATTTCCCAGCTTTCGGTAATATTCAAAAAGCAAAAGTTCGTTCGTTAGCCTCGTTCGTACTCGAACCATGGCCTTGTGCCTGACGGCTAGAGCTTAACCAATTAGCCACGACAGGAGCTTGCCTTTTGTAGTCGACGACACTCGTTACGATGTAATTTCCAGGCCAGTCTTTGGCATTCCTTGTTACAATACCTGAAATGAGAGTTTTGAAGTTTAAAGGAATTGTGAAGAAAAAACCCACAAACTTCCCGGTCTCTTTAAAACCTTCCTATCTACCGTACCTGGTATGATTGCACGCTGAGCATTTGAGGAGTTTCCCATCTCCGGGCGCCGCTCGCATACAGTACGAGCAGAACATCTCGATCTTCGTGTTGATGACCTGGTGGGCGAACGGGTGCTCGAACAGCTGAAATTTTCATGAAATAAAATTTTTAAAAATAAATCACTCGTATTTTTAACTAGCCTTTATTTAAAAAATTACGCTATTTTTAAAATGGCGTTGTTCTTAAATTTTTTAATTAAAAAGAATTAAATCCAAAAACATAACGACTAAATAAAATTAATTAAAATACAGTAAATTCAATTACAGAGTAAAATTAATTTAAATTTAGTTTAAGCTCCTTTAATTTCCTTTCAAACTTGTTAAATCAATCTTTAATAAATACTAATAAATCAAAAATACGGTACCTTGATGCGAGCATGAATGCTGGAGATTTCGTCAGCCGGCTGCTGGGCTGGGCCCTTTTTCTGGTGATCCTTTTGCTTGGGCACCATTTTACCTAGAAAAAAAAACTAAAAATATCAATTTTAAAATACTACAGTATTTGCAGAAAGTTTTAAAGGAACCTGGAAGCCTAAAAAATCCATAGATCAACGGAGAAAAAGGCTTGGAACCATGGGGGATAGGATGGGACCTAGAGAAAGGACCGGATCGGACCCGGCTAGAGTGGCCATGGCAAGATGGTGGGAGGCAAATAGGCTGGAGAGAGAGTGAGAGAGAGAGAGAGAGGGAGAGAGAGAGAGCTGAAAAAGAGAGACATTACACATCTGCACCCCACGATCCCAGAGCGCCACCAGAGAAGAAGCCGCGAGACCATGCCGATACTCTGAGCCTACTATATGTGACTGTTTTAAAGGGGATATTAAGTCAAAATTTGAATATACGGATTTTTCGCATTTTGCAACATTTTTTCACCTAGACTTCGTTTCAAAACCAAGCTCAAGCTATTCCGCTTTCAAAATACATTGTAAAATTGATCAAAATATATTTCCGAACTTAAAACGCCCCTTTTTGTACCTTTTTATCGTATGGCCTAGTGGCTAGCGCGGTTGTCTCTCAAGTTTAGGGTCTGAGTTCAACCCCCGCCTGGTTCAAACTTTTTGCTTTTTCGTCAGTATGCGGGAGATCCATGTGGTTTTCAAGGAATTTCAAGGAATAGTTGTAGATTTACCAAAATTGCTCGAATAAACAAAATAAAAATGCCTGTCCTTTTTTCGTATCTGTATTTTTCATTTTTCTACAGTTTTTTTATTAACAGAACAGAACACACACACGTCTCATCGCATACCGGGTGGATCACATATTGAAGGGGGAGGGTTAAAGGTACTTGGAAGGCTCAAAAGGGGGCATGGCCTCGGTATTCAGAAGCCCGGGATATGGTTCAGCATGGCCTCCGATGACCAGTAGTAGTTGGGGGCGCCCGGGGAGAAGCATGTGTTGTCGGAAAGGGTCTAAAATATTGAAATATGCAAATTAGGCGTAAAAGAGACCTGAAAACCAAGAATCCGCTGCCAACCAATTTGTGTGAATTTTGAGCATTTTTAAACGATTTCATAAAAAAGCACCTCCGTATAATGAAGAAATTAAAAGACCGTTTCCTGTTTTCTTTAAAATCGTCTTTGTCTCCCATCTCTCGCTTTCTCTCTCTCTCTCTCGCTCTCTCTCTCTCTTTCTCTCTCTTTCTCACCTCTCCCTCGGTCCAATACATAATGTAGAAGTTACACATCTCGTCCTCGCCCGTGGCCCCCATCTCAATCACGTGATCCTCATTATTCTCGATGATGCATCTGAAATACAGCGATAATGGTTAGAATTTCGCTCGGAAAACCAGAATGGTGGCATTACAAAAATTTGAGTTACCTGGCGGCCAGCATATCGCCCTTTCGGATCTCCATCGTCTTGTTTTCCACCTGAAAAAAAAACACCGGTAAAATAAAATAAACTTAGATATTTATAAAAATACAGTTAATGACAAAAAACCAGATTGCGACATTTTTCCTTAGACCTGTAAACCTCTTTATGACGCGAAAACCGGAAAAATACCGTACCGGGACGAACATCTGCGGCAATTGCGGGTCGCGCTGTCCGATCTTTGACCACCGATCCTCACCCTGTGCATTCTAAATGATACCCAATTACCGTAAACCTGCGACACTAGTACCTCCTGCACAATCCATCCGCTAACATCACGACCATGACGATGGGTGTGGGTACGGTAGGCGAATGGGTGCAGTACAACAGACTCCTCCATTACGCAGGCTGTTTCGAAGCTCTCTGTAAATCGTTTGAGTTGGTGGTTTAGGGCAAGCTAGAAGAGATTTAAAAACACCGCTGGGCAAACTAGAAGAGATTCTTTTGGGAATTGTTGGACTTAAAATCAGATCCCTGGGCAATCCAGCAGCGGTTATTTAGGAAGTTGGACGCAAAAAATCATTCCTGGGCAGGCTAGCAGATTCTGCAGAGATTCCTTAGGAATCCGGCCCGGATTTAAAAAATTTCCGGACTTTTCCACAACCGTTGCTGCGGCCATTGTCATTAATGTACGATTTTCATACTGTAGATACCATCCAAAGTACCGTACCTACGCTCTGAGGCGGCACCTGGCCACCAGTGACGAGCAGCATCGTGGCCGCCTGTTTGGGCTGCGGCTCCTCGGTGTGGGTGAGGGCGATTCCAGTCCTGGAAGGAATAGAGTACGGTGGTAGCCGGTATAATTTAGCTGTTTGGTGGAATATAATGTTTTCCGCCTCGCCCAGGTGTCCTTATCCCTTTAAGGAAACCGGCAAGGCATACTTTCAGGTTTTTTGACTATCTATTCGTTAGAGATTTCGCGAAATTTGCGCCTACCAATAAAAACCAGATCCCTCTCTCTTCCCGACCCCTTTAATCTCACTCACTTATCCTCCACGTCCTTCTCGTGCATATAATGCACCTGCATCACCAAGAAGTTGATGTTCGACGAGCCGCCAACTTGGAAGCCGACGTCTGAAAGGAGTACGGTATTGCTAAAGTAATTTTGCAGAAAGATTATCATTTTCAGATCTGCGTAGTTTGGAGCCGGACGTACCCTTGGGCAATGTGAGATCGGGAGCATCCTTTGCCCACGCATACAAAATGTGCGGTTTCGATTGGCACACCGGGCCCTTCTCGAGGCTCTCATAACGGGCCGACATCTCACCGCAATCCCTAAATCCGATGTTTTTTTATAAATTCCGCAAATGGTCTCTGCTAGCTTGCTAAGTAGCCTTAAAAATTCCGCAAAAACTCTGCTAGTTCTCCTTCACCCCTCTCACTCGCTCTCTATCACTCTCTCTCATTCTCTCTCACCCTCTTTCTCTCATCCCGCCCTATCGCATTGAATTCTATTACCCAATTTTCCACAGGAATCTAGCTTGCCTGACCCAGTTTTCGCAAAGAACCTCTGCTAGTTCGCTTAATAAGATCCAAAACTCCCTAAAGATCTCTGCTAGCCTGCTTTCACCTTAAAATTCCTCGATTGTTCTCTGCTAGCCTGCCTTCTACTCTGTGAACATCCACAAATAATCACGGCTATCTTGCCCTATCATCTTCTTCTTTCCTCATTCCCCAAATGCTCTCTGCTAGCCTCCCCCCCCCTACCGTACCAAACGGAATCGTAGCTTCCCGGCTCCTCACAACCGAACAGCAAAATGTGATGTGCCAGTCCCTTCTCCACCAACGGCTCGAAACCGGCTGAAAAATTCGCTAAAATCCCGGAAAGCTCATTGAACCAACTCAAATAGTGGTGCTTCTCCGGATCCAACGGGGCATACGTGCAAACATAGGAATCGGCCTGCAAAATGATATTTTATGTTTTTAGTGGTGTAGCCAAGTGGTTATGGCTTCTGTCTTTGAAGCCAAGGGTCGAGGGTTCGATTCCTTTTCAGGTTAAAGTTTTTGCTTTTTGTTTAAAAAAAAAACCGTTGACTTGCTACTATCGCCTAGTGGCTAGCGCGTTTGTCTGTCACTCACAATACCGGGGTTCGATCCCCGCCTAGGTCAAATTTTGATTTTTTGCTCAAAAATCTCAAAATTTAAGGTGTTTTTGCAAACCTTGGGCACGACTCCATCCGGCATCTGAATACGGTCGGTCTCGGCCAGGGCCGCCCCGCAAAACGCCAACAACAGCCACACAGCCATTGTAGGCTCAAATAAAACCCTAAAAAGTGCTTAAAAATAGCCAAGATTTGTAGTAAAAATAACTATAATTAGCGTAAAACGGGTTGTATTTAAACACCAAAAATATGAGGGAAAAATGGGCTCCGGTGCCAGGATTAAACAGGAAAAGCCATGACCCAATCACTAACCCCTAAAAAGCGCTTTATAAAGTCTGTTTTAAAAGATTTTTAAAACGTTTAAAAACGCGTAATTCGTTAAATTCAGAAGCGTTTTAAACAAAACAGTAAAACTGGGGTAAAGCCTCGGATTAATAAAGCCGTAAGCCGTAAACGAAAGGAGTCCTAAAAAGTGTTTTATGAAGACTATTTTAATATCAGTTTTTATTGTTTAAAATTGATAAAAATACTGTAACCCGGGCTTGTTTTAATCAATATTAATATAGCGCAAAAAATGGGTTCACGCGCCCGGATTAATCAAGGAATAGTGGGGGATTTTAGAAGTGGCCGAGGGGGGCCCTGGCGGGTGGATCGATAGCCGGAGACCGCCAAAGGCCCTTTACTGGGCCTTTACGTCATCTCGAAACGGGGCAGAAGAGGAGGGGAGGGTCCCAAGAGGGCCCAAAGCGGAACTGAGAATGGCATAAAATGTAATAAACATGTATTTAACGTCGAAAAATGCAAAAATAAAAGCTTCAAATTTCGAAAATTCGTTTTTTGATTTCGACGTTATTTAACCTGAAACTTTAATTATACCTTCATCGAACTTTACTTATTTATATATGCCAACATGCACAATCCCTTTAACGATTAGAAATTAAAAATTTACAAATTTTCGAAAATTCCGGTATTTTATTTTATAAAAACTTATTTACCTTAAGTATATTTACCCTTACTCCAAATTCTGTAATCTAAAAAAGTATATTTTTACTTTATCACGACTGTAAATTCTGTTTTCTCTATAAATTCAGCCACTCACAATTATTCTGCATAAAAACAATTGGAATGATTTATTACGGAAGTATAAATAGTAGATTAATGCATAAATAAATGCAACGGATTGACAACAATAAAATTACAAAAAAAACACCGGCAATGGAAAGAGAATTGAAAGCACAGACGACCTGAGAAGTGAATTGGTGTGTGGAAGTTGTGGGCGGGGCGTAAGGTATCCTCATTATACCCAGTGCTGAGTCTCGCCCGCGGGTCTCGATAGTTGCTGGTAGAGCGGCATGGCTGGAGGTGTGTTATCGCCGGAAAGTCCTAATCAAATATTTTTTTGGTTTTTAAGAAAATCCTGATCTAAAAATAAGCACTTATTTTATTAAAACTCGCACTAACCTGCATAATCTAAAGATGGAGCATGCCGTCGCGCGCGCGGGCTATCCTGGGCTAGGCGCTGCGCGCTCAGCGGCAAAGAGCCGCGCATCTTCGGCGACTCGAAAGACTTCAGCGGGGTTCGCACATTTCGCTGTTCTAGCTCTCGCTTGTGAGCCTCGAGCATTTTTCCCGTTTCGGCGCTGAAATTATTGTATTTTGTTTTCTAGTCAAGCACCCCTTGCGGGCCTTGGGCGCTGGAATCGGCCTTTGCAGAGAAATTGACTTTCCGTGCTTGTCCTTCGGACCCCTCCCTTCATCCGACCACACCCGCGCGTGCAACTTGCAAGAATAGAATTTGTATTTTGGAATTATGCAAGTACCCTCCCTGGCGCCGGACACACACACAGTCGCGCCATGGTAGGATTTATTTTTTTGTGGCTTCATCTTTTTTTCAACCCACCTTTTTATCGTTGCAAAAACGGTAGTTCCAAGGAGATCCGGTTTGTCCATAGAAAGTCGCGGAGTCGCTAACCTGGAAAAATAAGCGGGTTTTTTTTTACTATTTAGAAGAACAAAGAGCTCCAATCTTACCGATTTTTTTAGGTTTTCAATACTAAAAGACTATAATTATTATATTAAGCGTAAATGACTATGAAAAACCTTTTAATACTTAGTTTTAAATCAGTAAGACGCAAGCCTTTCCGGCATCTAGAATTCACTCACCGAGCTTGTTCGCCAGCTTCATCCAACTTCGTAGACTTAAGCTTCTTCTTTTTCCGGCTGGCCGCTCGAAATCTGCAGATCATGATCATAATCGCGATCGAGACGATGACACCCAGCAGCGAAATATGCAGAAGATAATCCGGCTTGACAAGTCGTGGAAAATCTAAATTACTTTTCAAGCCACCAAGTCCAGCGACAAACTTTTCAAAAAAGCCTCCTCGTCATGCTTCTCGCCCTGTAGATGCTCATCCGGTTCCATCTTTTCTTTAGAGGAATGCCCGTTTCCGGTGTCATCCGAGGGTAGAATTGTTATCGGCAGGATTAAGCGAGCCGGTTGGACACTGTCAGCGCGGACCTCGAGTTCCAGGTTTTCCGTTACCTAGAGATTCTGTAATTTCAAAAAAGCTTTTAAAACCTCATCAGAACTTCCAAAGGCTTGATACAAGACTTTTCCCTTGGTGATGTCGTTGTAGGTGAAGAAGAGGGCGGAATGAGACGAGCCGAGGTCGAGGGTGATGCGGCCGTAACGGGGTGGGGATGCGACAAGGAAACGTGGAGTTGCTCCCTAAATTTTTGGGTTCTAGAATATTTTTGGGGAGGCGTTTCAGCAGGAGATCGAAGTTGATTTTTAGAAAAGCTTTTTACTAACCATTCGTCTTTCATAAATTTACGAAAATTGTCAAAAATGTTTTTCGAAATTGTCGACTTTTTTAGTGATCGAAAACTACTAACATAATTAAAAAAAAAAAATTAAAACGCTAAAACTTTTGTAGTTAGGGATGGACTTCAGCTTTTCAAATAAGTTAAAAATTGAATTCCCGGATTTAAAAAAATAGTTTGAAAATAGCCAAGCTTTGTCTACATTTTGTAATAGACAAAAAGCGACGTTTACCTCAAGCGCACTAGCGTTCAACTGCGAACTCGTGATCGGGGTTGTCGTATTGGCCTCAACGATTACAGGTTGAGCAACAACCAGTGATTTGACGACAATTTCCGAGCGATTCCGGACGGTATCCCGGCCCTCGTTTGCGACGACAAACTCGAAAGAGTCCTAAATAAGAGAATTTTAGACATGAACATCGGAAAGAAAAACCTTGTAGGAATGCATGTTAAGTTGTGCATACAACACGCGGCCGTTATCGACATCATCCTAAAATAGCATAAATAATTTTTCATAACTTTAAGAGTAAATACCTGACTAAACTCCTTCGTCTCCTTCTCGCCAGCTACCCAATAGAAAGTGCCGTTTTCCGGTGGAAGGACGATTTTGTACGAGATTTTGGCACGATCCCCGTTGGAAAAGGCGCCAAGATGAGAGCTAAAAACAACTTTTAATTTTTCTTCTTACACCTTTACTTCTTTTACTTCTATCTTTCAAAAAAATAACATAAATCCCACCGGCTGAGCACCACATAAGTTTTCCCCTGTTGATAGTGAATCGTCGTATGGTTCTCCAGCGCCAGATCCAGAGGCCGAATCTAGAAATGTTTTTACTAAATCAACTTTTTCTTACCTTTACAATGAGTGTTTTATACAGGCCATCGATTGAGAATACAATCACATCGGCGGGGGCTGAACCTGCTGGGGCAGGCGTGTGCACCACCGAAACTAGGCCTTGATTTAGCTAAACGAAGACTTGCAAGAATTTAATTCGTCAAACCTCTTCTTGCGAGAACTTTTCGCGATTTCGATGGGAAACTCGGATCTTCGCGCCATTCCTGCCATTTTGCACGACGTGGTAGATGATACTTTGCGGGGGGACGGAGGGGTGGGTAGCGAAGAAGCTCGTCTGATCCAGGGGAGCTGCACCTCCAGATATGCAAGCGATCGAGCGGGGGAACAGCGAGACCTAGAAGGGATTTTTGAAGGCAAACGGCCGCTTCGATCTAAAAAGCACAATCTCGTACATTAAATTACCAGATACAATGTATTTTGCACGACTTCGCTTAATGTTTTAATTATCTAGACTGACCGATTTTTATGAATTTTGCGAAGATAGCTGTTTGCTTTTTCTTTTTCATTTAAAACCTTTGCTTTGCTTTTAACTTTATATGTTCTTTTTTGATTACCTCAAGCGCATGATCGCGTATCGGCAGTATGCGAATCGGAATTTGGATTCGTAGCCGGCTAGCGCTGCGCGTGGATTCGCTAGCTGGGTAGATGTAGAATACCAACTCATCATCACGATCGGATTCGCCCTGAAAATATAATTTAGATGATACTCAAATAAACCCTACCGAGTGTCGATAGATGAAAGGCCAGCCTCTGGCAAAATCGGACCATGTCAAAATGCCCTTCGGCAAATCCAACCAAGCTGCATCGCCATGTCGAGGCTCTTTGGCGATTTCCATCAATATCACCTAAATTTGGAATTAGTATTGATCAGGAATTTCCGTGAAACCTCTTTCGCGACCTTCTTCGTCAATGCGCCGGCGTTGATATGGCTTTGATTAAGCGCCGTTGAGCCGCCTATGCTTGAGGTATCGGCATAAGAAAATTAAATATACCTCGAGAAACATAGAGTGATTGGGTGCTGACGAGCCTTTGTAGTTGATCCGGCGTGAGGGCCGCATAGGTGGAGGTGATTCGGAATCTAGAATGACGTACGGTGTTTAAAGGTATTCTTAGGTTTTTAGAACATTAAAAAAAAACAAAAATTAGAAAGAAAGAAAAGAACAGTCATATTTATCACCTATGCTCCTCCCCATTCGGTTGATTGAACGTCCCATTGAGCCCAATCGTAAAAGTAAACGAATCCCGTCTTGTCCACTCGTTTTGGGGAGTCGATATCGTGTAGCTGACGAGCCGGCGATTGATCTGAATTTTTATACATCTCCGCGTTAAATTTTGACTAACGTCGTGCTGGGTGAAGCGATGACTCTCGACCCCGCTAACGGTCAATTTGCCGTATCTTGGGGCTTTGTGAACTGCGAAGACAATTTCCGGGGCGGCGGCCTATAAATACTTATTATGAAAGTTGTAGATCATCACATTCGGCAAGTTTGCGCGTAACAAATCGATGCTGATGACGGCGTTGGTGTCTGGGGCGCATAGCAATCGAGAATTTGCCTCGAGAGCGACGTTGATCTAAAAAAAGGCTTTTTTGAAGCTGTAGATGACCATACCTGACCATCCCATGCCTCTATCGTAAACCATTCCGGACCTAGTTGATGTACACCATCAGAGATCAAAAACGAAAAGCCTCCAGAACCGACGGAGGAATCTAAACCTTTATCAGGTAATTTAGCCAACTTACTAGATCCCCGATAAAACGCGATCGCACTATCGTCAATCTCCTTTTGCGAAAAGTTGTAGATCGCCTTGTCGGGCTCAATTACCTAAGCATTCGTATTAAAGGTTTCTTTTAACGTCTACTTACCCTGGCGACATGCCCATTCGACGGCTTGGAGATGAGAAAGAATACTTGGTAGGGCGGGGTGTCGGTGTCCTAATAAAATAGAAGTTGACATTTTTAAATATAGCTTACCTCAGTGCCCAAATGGCTGTTCGTGATCACTGCAAAGTTGGTGCTCATCACCCTCAGCACCTCGTTGCGAAGGATTAGCGGGCCTGTAGGGCTCGATTATGCCAATAAAAAACCCTACTTTGCTTATTTTGCTGGGATATCGTGACTTCTACCGGCTCTGGGTTGGTGCAAGTTTCGCCGCTGATACAGGCCATTACCTAAAAAATTGTGTAAATTCACTAAAATTTAACTAAATTGCTTTCTAGATGTTTTGGAGCTAAATTACATTCAAATAAAGTTAAAAACGCAATCAAAATTAAATTTAATTAGCCGCTTACCTGGAAAACATCCCTGGCCAGGTTGGCGCTCTTATCCGAAACATAGACGATTCTCCGTTCTCGCAGGTCACTGCCGGCAAAACTATCTAAATTGAGAATTTTATTGCTTTGATTAGTTTTGATTATAGGGTCATTATTTTATTGATAGGTCGACCCACCGATCGGCTGAATATTCGCCAACGTCCACCCGTCCTTCACCAGCCAACCAGCCCTGGGCGGTGCGACCACCTTGACGATGTAGTCGCCGCGATCCGAAGATGTGACGCCAATGATATTCGGGGCCAACACCGCGCTACCGCCAGCCACGAGATGTAGGGATGAGGTGTTCATCGCCACCTGAATTTTTTGGATTTCATTTCGGGCTTTTTTACCTCAGGATCAAAATTTTCTAATATGAAAGGTGTTTCCAGACTATTTTCACTATCTTAACTAATAACTCCAAAAAAAACCTATTTGGCAACGAAAAATGCCAACTTTGCAGCAAAGTTTCAACCTTTCTAAGTTTTCGAAATCGTTTTTCCACTTAAAATATAGAAAGCTATGCGCAGAAATATATTCAAGTACTTTCTCGTGTGTTGCCGTACTTTTAACAAAAAGTCATAAGGTAGCCATAAAAATTAAAACAAGGAAAATAATAAAATTTTGAATATTGCACAAAATTTCGCGTTTTTCGATGTAATCGACAAATCACTCACATGATGCTCATAAACATCCACATAGACCGTGTAGGGGCCCTTGGAGGCGTGCGGGCTTTTGATGTTGAGAGTGAAGGAGTCGCGTCCAGGCGATTTGCTAGTGTGCAGATATTGTAGGCGGCCACTGTCCACGTCAAACTGGGTGAAGGTGCTCACATAAGAAGCGCCTAGAACTGCATAGAAAATACGTTTTTGCTCACCTCCATCGAGCACCAGATGGCCGGTCAAGGGTTGTCTGGTTACAGAGTAGACGAGTTGCCCGCTTGGGGTTACGGCGTCTCCCTGGAAATTTATTGATTTTGTTCTTATTATTAGCGCTTTTTTAGTGATTGACCAGGGTTGAAAAGCCGCTTCGCGACTTTCAACCCTGGCCCCGTCTTAGACCATAGGCTGTCCTACGCGTTGCATAATTGCGCTGAGTTCAGGTGGCCAAAAATGAATGTTCGCTTCTGACCCTTTATATGGCGTTTCCTCTTCCGGTCAATGCTAATTTTTCCTAGCGAAGAGGGTTTTACAAAAACTTAAATATAATATCGAAAATGGCTGATTTTTATAAATCTAATATGTGGGCAGTCATCCCTAGACCATTACGCACATAATGACGTATCTTACCCACCCATAACTTCTTCCCCTATAGAGATACGACTGGAACAACGATACGGAAGTGGATGCAAAGTGGCACACACACACAGACACTATTTTTTTATATATAGTAGGATCTACTTAGTTTTTATTGTTTTTATTATTTCATACCTGAAGCAGTGTTTCGTTATTGATTATTGAAGCGCCACCGACCGGGACGGATAGTGGTTGAGAGCGTCGAAGCTCGAGGGAAGCCCCCAGAGAACGGAGGGTCAGGATCATCTAAAAAATACAAATATATCTTCTCTTTTAAATCATTTAATGTTGAAAATATCCATTTTTTTGGCTTCCCCACTAGCTAGATTATTCGCTTTTTCTGAGCGTCAAAACCTGGGCCCACTAATTAGCCCATGTGGCCAAGCCAAGCGCGCTCAAGCCTCGCCCAGCTGTGACCATAAAAACGGCACGAGCAACACCTCATACTCCCTGAGCCCCGGCTAACGAACCTCTCCCTCGACCCGCTTCTCTCCAACGGTCACCGTAATTGGCTCTTTCTTGGCGGCGTGCACAGTATAGTAGAGTACACCGTCGTAGATATCCTAAAAAAAATCTGCTAACAATATTGAAAAACTGAAAAACCTGCTGCGTGAATTTTGAAGCTCCCTGGGCGGTGCCATTTCGTTTGATGACAAAATGAACGCTGGGGGTGTTGTAGACAATTTCGGATAGTGGCAGATCGTGATTTGTGCGGACCGTCAGGTTGCCGGGGTGTACTTCTAAATTCGGCGGTATTTTTAATTTTGAAATGTTATTTTTGATTTAGACCTTATTTATAATCTGTCGAAGCTGGTAATAATAAAGAAATAATATTATTATAGTGTTTTAGAAATTTTTATAGTGGTTTAGTGATTTCCGATCACTCAAACATCATATAAATCTTATAGAAAAGCGTAAAAATCTTGTTTTTATTTTAGTAATTTTTTTATAAATCATCGAGCTAAAAAAAACAACTTTTGAAATTTTATCCAACCCAAAAAACGTACGAATTTGCGGTCGATCCCCGGGAAGACAGCAATAGGTCAGCTCGGCTTGTCCAATTTCCGCAAACAACTCGCTCGACACGATATGGACCGTCCCTGGGACAGATCGAGCCCCATCCGACACCGTATAACTAAATAGTAATGCATAATCAAATTCCGTGTAACTTACTCGATCGAGAAGTTGGCCTTATTCCCGAGGTGTCGAATCATCACTTTCTTTTTCGCCAAATCCTCCTGCGTGAAGCTGGTGACCGGTAGATGAGGGGAAATTGTCGACAAGATTGCGCCTTCCTTCGCGCCAGCGGAAAATGAGAACTGAAAAATATCATAAATTTCTTCTTATTTGAGTTTTCTGCCCCTTAATTGCTTCGTGAAGTTATCCAAAACCTTTAAAATCGTTTCAAAAAAGTTACACCGTTCAAAACGTTAAATTTTATCTAAAATCGATTACTTTTAACGGCATTGAATCAACGTCATCGTCCCGCCAATCGAGCATATGCGGGTAAAAAACTCGTTCTCCTTTCGGGGTAATCTAAAACCACTTGGGGGGGGGGCGCCCCCCCCCCCCCCCCCCCAAAGGGGGGGGGGGGGGGGGGGGGGGGGGGGCGGGGGGGGGGGGGGGGGGCTTTTTTTTTCCCCCGCGAACCGTTTGTTTCCCCGCCGGCACCTAATCCATTTTTCGCTAGTAAACTTACATAGATGGTGTCGGGCCCGATCAACGCCGGCGGATTGTCGTTGTGCAAGATCACGGAAAACGACAGAGACAACGGGATTCGGGTCCCACCCCGAAACGCCGATTCCGCGAGTAGACTCACGCGATCGGAGCGCGACTCTGAGCCGGAGTGATTGTAGAATAATCTTAGAAAAAATAATCTTCTTCCAAAGGGTCAAAACTACCGGCCGTCGTTGATATGGGCGGTGGTGAAGTTATTTCCGGCCTTGATAGGGATGTATTTTCCTGAAAAAATGATTTTATGAAAAACTTGGGAAGTTACTTACCGTTCGAATTCTTATACGAAAGACTGCCATGTTCTGGCGGGACGGCAATTGTAAATACAAAGTTTTTGTCGTCCGGCGTCGAAAGTGAGAGGAATTCGTTGGTGATCTAGAAAAACCTTATTAAATTGGACCACTGAAATTCGAACCTGAGCACTCGCCCCCTCATCCACAACCACAGTTCGATTGACGAGATGTATCGACGCTTGGGAGGGGATGAAGACAATTTCGAAGCGTTGTATCTGAAGATTTTCGTTTTTTTTTAATTAAGCTACTCTTCCACATACCTCGGACTGCACCGACGGGGCAATGATTTTAAATAGAAAGTAGTCGTTCAGAATCGAGTACTGCATGAAATGGAGTTTGTAGCTGATCGTATTCCCATCAATATCCTAGAAAAAAATTCTAAATTAAATAAAATTGGAAACCCCCGCCTCTTGCGTGAAGTTGGACGAAACGCCGATTCTTCGATTTCTGGCCCCAATCTTCCGGGAAAGGATTCCAAATTTCGGAGGTTCTAAATTTTATTTGATACCTGGAAAATAGGAAAACCACGCACCAATAATATGATACACCAGCTGGTCGGAATTGTAGCTTTTCGGGAAGGTCCAGGCGAAGAGGTTGGCGCGGCCAAGCATCCCGTTATCCGTTCCGTTGAGCAGGAATACTTCCCGGTTGAACACTTTGATGTTCATCGGGATGAAGGTGACACGGAAGGCGTGCACCATGCTTACGAAATCGCCGGACTCAACCTAGAATTGGGGTTAACGGCAGAGTGACACCAGAGCTCAGCGCGTGCGGCGTTCCCTCATAATAACTCGCGATACGCAACGCGCCACACGCACAAGCCGTGTTTTAAGGCCCGTTTTAAGTCTTTTTCTGTTTCTTTTAGCTTTACTGAATTTAGGTTATACTTTTTTTATAATTCCCCTTTAAATAGTAAATACCTGGAAACTGAAAGTATCTTGAGGTGGCGTTCCGCTTCCAGTGTGCCGAAATCGCACCAGGCTCTTCGCAATCTGACTCTAAATACAACCAAAAATATAAGTTTTTCTCTTATAAACCTGTGAAAATGTGGTGCACACGTGAAAGTGGCCGTTTGGTGGTGAACATTCAACAACTCCGTGCTCGGGCAGCCCAACGATACGGTAGTGCAACGGGACCTCGGGGACGGTCGGGACGAAGGAGAGATTCCTGTAAAATAGGCATCCATTTATCGCGTTTGATTTTAATAAAATTAAAGCAAGCTTAGGACCAGAGACTCACTCCTTCGTGATGATGGCCGACCCGTGATGGAGAAGCCGGAGGCCGGTGTTGAACTCAGGGCGCACGCCGATCGGCACGGAGACGATCTGAAGAAATAAACGTAACTAGAATTAATAAAAAAATTCCCACCTTTAATGGCAGAACAGCGCTTCGAGACTCACTATCTCGAGCTACAAGTCGGATCGTTGAATGGTCAGAGAGTCCCTCATCGACCAGGCGGATCTAAATAGACGCACAACTTCAAGACGCATTTATCTTATCAGGGTAGTAAAATATAATTTTTTTATTCTATTAGTTTACTATCAGACTTCTCAAGTTTACCTCCCCATTCAGCAGTTGGCGTTGCGTGAATTCAGTGACCGTCCGATTAGACAGTGTCACATGCGCTCCCTTCGATTCCACGACTTGGATTCGAACCTGTAATTGTTGATTTTTAATCAGCTTTAAAATTTCTACCGTATCCGGCGAATCGTCCACATCATTCAAGCGAACCAATTCAGCCGTCAAGGCCCTGCTGCCCTTGGCCGTCACCTTCACGACGCCGCCGCCCGTGGCGTCGCTCAACTCGGGCGGATCGTTGACTCCATTGATGCGAATCTTCAGCGTGTATGTGGTCGTCTCCAGCCACGGGAAATCCATAGTGCCGATGCGCGGGAATTCAATCTAAATCGTCAATTATTTCACCGGGTCTTAGACTTTTCTATTTTACTAGCCGCTTTTCTAGCCTGGCACAATTCCTTTCTGTATCGCTCTCATCCAACCCACATCTGGGGGTGCCGAAAAAAGAGAGCGAATTATTTGTTATGAGATGCGCCCCGCAGTGGCGTCTCAATGAGCCACACCTAGGCCAGATGGTGGGTGGTAGGATGGGTTTGGGATATTAAATTCAAAAAGCTTCTCTCGAAAATCCTCCATAAAGCACAATTAATTACAATCATTCCAATCACAATTACCTAGAATCAAAGCTTTTTACCTGGAAATCAAAATGGTCCTCCCGCGTCTCGCTGCCATCGTGTTTGTAGACGACGTTCCGGGCCAACAAATCGGCGTAGGTGAATGAGGATACCGGGTTGCTGGCTAGGGTCAGAAGTCCGTGACGAGGGCCTTCGACAACCTAAAACTCAAATTATAACAGATGACAAAAATCCCGATATTACCCCGCTGAATTAGATACAAATTTTCGAAAATAGCATTTCCTAAATAATGGTCTAGAAAACGACTTTCTCGAAAACCAAAATTTCGAAAAATCTGCGCCCAGCTACCAATCAAAAAGACCACAAGGTGTTGCGAAATACCTAGCTACGCAAAGTTTTCGAAATCTCGATTTTCGACAATCTCCGTTTTTAGAAACCCTGCTTCCAAAATATGATATTTTGAAAATTGCAAATTATCGCATTTCGAGCTTCCAAAGAACGTGCCGAAAACAGAATTTCCCGATTTGACAGGTTGAAGCGGCCGTGCTCGGGCAGGACGTAGACGTTCTTCCACTGCAGCGGCATCGATGCGCCCTCGTTCACCTGTAAAAATAAACGAAAAAGGGAGATAAAAAACCTGTAGTGGTTCGGCAACATATACAGGCTGAGGTGACGTTATTCGGTGGCCATTATCCGCCAAGTGGAGGGCGGCCAGGTGGGGTGGCTCGTCGTGGTGGAGGGATTCGGTTGATGTCTCTTCTGATGACCCATCCGGCTCGCTAAAATACGATACGTGTTTTTCACCATTTCCTACTCCCTCGACAGAACACCTTGGACCGGGAATCACCAAATTTTGCCATTTCGTCTGGGCCCCCGGGTGCTAATCGATCACTACATTGACAGGCTGAAACACGCTGCGCTTATCCGGGCCAGGGGTCTACTGGACGATGGATGGGCGGTGGGCATGCGTTCGGAAACGATTTAGGATTTTGAAAGGTGCGATAAAAACTTCAAAGCTTAAAAATTAAAATTATACTCGGGTCTGGTTGGCTAACCTTTTGACACGTTGTCGCATCAATTTTATGCTTTTTGTCTGGTACTGGGTTGTTAGCAATGGGGGAGGGGATATTTTGTAGCTTTTAATGAATGTTTTTAGTGTTTTTGGTAATTTTTTGATAACTGAAAGGTGATGACAACATTTAGGAAAACCCAATTTTCGCAAATCTTGACTATTTCCTATATTTTCGACCGAACTAATAATTTTCGGAATATTTTATGCATTTGTTATGCCACGCAAAAAGTTACATAAAATTTCTCATTTCGTTATGGATACCGGGCAATAAGGTAAGTTAGGTACCCCCGTTAACAGTCCAATACCTTTTCTAGGGCCCTACATGCTCGAGACATGTGAGCCGTGCCCTATTTTTTTAGGGCCACACAACCTCACTTGTTCGCGGGCCGCGGCAGCGATGCCTCTATAGAGGCCAGAAAAACGCCGTCGGCACGGGGGGATTTACGCGGGTGCAAATGGGTCGTGTTTGTTCGGAGGCGACCAGCCAGCCGGCCGAGTCGACCGGCTGGCAGGAAGGAGACGACGGGCTGAAGCAAGTGCGTGATTTACGGAGCTCGTGCTCCTCGATCGCTCAGCGCATCTTCGGCCGTGGGCCATCTGGGCTAATTTGATGCCGAGGGATAGCGATTTGTCCGTAAAAAGAGGGGTGGTTAGATTAACTAAAGGGATGTCCTGGCTGATTTACTTTTTTGGTTGGTTTTGGTAAATAGCCAGCCGCGGAATAGGCTTTTAGTTCAGCAAAAGCCTTAGATAGACCCCATAATTTCCTCAATCGAGCACCGAACACTTTTCCGTCGCACTTTGTCCCCCCTACTCTCGACGCTCATTTCATCTAGACTATGGCTAGGGCATGTTGTGGGGATGAGGGATGGCAGCAGCGGCTTCCAAGGACCAAGCGCCCAGCCTTCCTTCCACCTTGAGACCAAGAGCGTCCGCCCAGGAGAAGTGATTGTAATAAGCGCGATTAGTGACTGGCCGTGAGGATCCACTTTCCCGCCACCTGTGAGCCCGTGACAAGGAGATCTCCCCCCGGAAATCTCGCCAAAGCCGCTAGCTATTGAATGGAAGAAAAATGGGAGGGAGTGAGACGTAAGAATCAACTCTCCAAAAAAACGCACCTGCAAAGCTTATCCAGTAACCGATGGGGACCTTGGACCAGGTTTGATATACAGCCATGCAGGGAAGACTCGTCGATGTGCAAAGCTAAACGTTGGCATTGTTTTTTCTCATTGCAGACCCTTCCAAGGCTGGCTCTGTTTGTTTACAAAGCAAGCAACGAAGCGTGTAAATGCACAGCGGCCAGAGCCGGACCACCAATGAACAACTAATATGCAAAAAGTACTCAGTGGTGGATTGTTTTGAAAAGAGCAAACCTATTAGCAGAAACACTTTTCAAGCTTTATTTATATTTGAAGCTGGCAAAAAAGACTAAAACCCACCATTGACCGACGTGCATATAGAAGGAGAATTCAGGGTTGTTGCAACTTTTTCGACGGAAATGTGTAGTGAAGCATCGGTTAGACATTCCACGCTAACAGAATGCCGTCCTGAAGTTGAGAGAGGCCCCACACGCTGCGTGTCGGCGTACAAACTGTTGTGGTGAATGAAGAACGTCAAGTTCCTCCCTTCAGAAATAATAACAAGCGGCGCCCCCTTCAGTCTCCGTAGTTCCAAATCGAATACCAGTGGTGTGATTAGTAGTGATATTGCCAATGGGATCACCGCGACCATCGTCGTATGTCAAAACTTTATTGGCAAAAGGAACAGAAACAACAACCACGAAGCATTGGCTCCGTGGTCAAGAGAATAATGAGGAACGATAGATCTTAATAGCGACGGCCTCCTTGCACACCTCCGCTCTTGACGTCCTCGACTTGAAGGCAGGGGATGTTCAGCTCCTGAAAAGAACTCTGTTACACCGATTGGCCACGCCCCTGACGCGCGCTGAACAAGGCCCCTCCTCCCTTGTGGCCAGCTGACCCAGTGAGTGTGTAGAGTGTCAGCACCTGGATTGGGATCCAAAAAATAAACTTTTTGCATCACACCTAAGGTACTTGTTTGATTTTGCTTCCGTAGACGGCTGTGATGCCCATGATCGGGTAAACACAGTGCTTTTTTTAGAAGCGAAACGAATAATATGGGTAACACCCATCTCATCGTGTCGGAAAGGACTATGTGCTGACAAAAAAAAAGACTAAATTTAATTCTTACAACTGCGTCTTAGAATACTGAAGCTAGTTTCCCGGCTAGTACCCAACCGCAGCGTAGTTACACCTCTGGGGCAAAACTTAGTGAATGTTTTAACCATATTAGCGGTCAAATAAATGCAAAATCGCAATCACAAAGCGAACTGCAAACTATATAGCTTCTTTATGGCGCGTCTACCCCCGAAGAGAGATAAAAATAAAACCGACCATTTCCTTGATCATCCGCTCGGTGTCGGCATCAACCTTGATCGAAGTCAATTCGCGTGGGTCCACGACGGAGATCTCGGGCATGTAGTTGTCTCTCCTCTCACGTTCTTCCTCCTGGAGCTTGATGGAAATGCCGCGGACTGGTCCCCTCTCGATGCGGGCCATGAGGTGAGTGATGAATCTGGAAAAGAATAGATTAAAATAAGCTAAACCCTGAAAATGTTTCCCCCTAGAATGAGAGATGTCAGAACCTGGATTGGGACGCTAAAAATAAATTTTTGCATCACACCTAAGGCACTTTTTTGCTATTGCTTCCGTAGACGGCTGTGATGCCCATGTTCGGGTAAACACAGTGCTTTTTTTAGAAGCGAAAAGACTTGGCTGTCGCGCAAGGCATCAAGTAAAATTCTAAAAAAACTGACCCGGCGATGCGGTTGCGCAGCTTCTTTGAAGGGATCAGGGCTACTTCATCACAGATCCTCTTGTTGGTGTGGAAGTCGCGGCCTAGGCGGGTGTAGTATTTCTCGATGATGACACGCGACGCCTTCTTGATCGTTTTCGTGCGAACGCCTCCCATGTTTGTTCTGAAAAAAAGGAATATAGTTTCAGATCGCAGTTTACAAAGGCGAGAGAAAAAGAGAAACGAACTATTAGGGAGGCAAAGCTGCGTGGCGGAGATCATGCTATGCGCGGCGTTGGTTGTTGGAAGTGAAGTAGGGAATCTAGATAATAGCGATCCTAAGAAAGCAAATGAGCGCGAAGTGAAGGGGGAGGGCCAAAACCAAGAGTCAAGAACGATAAAGGAAAATCGGAGAGGGACATAATTTTAGGCCAAAATGCGGGGTGGAGATTCGGAGCGACGCTGCGAGACAGGCAGAGGGGGACTACGGTGCCCGAAAGGGCAGGTCGCCGGATAGGCAACCGGGCTCTGGGAGAGGGGCTTTTTGCCGGCCAGTCCGAAAATTCACAAAACCCGAACTAAAATTAACGATAAAACAATTATCTAAATTAAAAAACATGCAAAAAGTTTAAAAAAGCTTGAAAAGAGGTTATAGCTTGCGGTCAATCCTTTGAAATTAAGGCTAAACCGTAAATTACTTGGGAAGAGTTGGGAAGGGAAATAAATCCGTCCAAAATCATATGCATGACGGTCTAGAATTTAATTTCACTAAATAGAAGCTAAAATTAATAATTTTTAATTTGGTTTTGAGTTCGCTGAGCTGGCATTAAAACTTTTTTCTTTAAAAAGGGGTTTGTTTGGTACCTCTTTCGGTTTTCTTTTCAAAGAACACTTCAAAATGTCTAATTGTCACTGGAAGAAACTAAAAAGCTACCTACTAAATAAGAAATTAGAAGTGGAACACTATTTTAATGGCAGAAAACCAAGGATTTAGCCACGTACATTTTTTAAGAAGCTAAATTTAGCTAGCTTGAAGTTGGGGGTTCTCATGATCGGGGGGACCAAAGATTTTGTATAAGTCTAGAAATGCTTGGTAACTTCATGGCAGGGATTTTAGTAATGTTTTTAGTAGAATAAAACTTTTTACACTAGAAAAACTATTTAAAAACCTGCAAAAGGTCGACATTTTAGCTTAGAAACGACCATTTTTGGTCGAAAAATCTATAGTTTTGTATTTTTTAGTAAATTAGCCGCCGGCACCCAACTTTTGTATCTCGGCTCCCTGTTCATCTACAGGTGTGTAAAGTATACAAAAATTTTCGTCTTGCTCTGGCCAGTTTTTTTTGGTATACTTGGTAAAGTAAAGTAGAGCTCGCATGATTTTAGGTGTATTTTCGATCTTTTCGAAGGAACGGACGGCGGTTTGTGATGAGTTCAAAAACAAATTTTCACGGTATTTTGCATCTAGTCCATTCTAAGTTTAGATTTTTAAGTGAGGTTTTGGTAATAGACGTATATCGTTCAAGAAATATCATGATGGTTTAACGATACAGAAAATAGGTGATAATACAGGTAACAATCATCACAAATCGAGAAATCCAGGGCAACAAGTGGTAAAGTGTCGCCTTCACGTATCCATTATGTACTGTAATTACAGTTAAGATATCATCCCTCTCTTCCGGTGAACAATTACGATATGTTATTCCTGGAAATACGAAGGTTTTTAAAGGGATTCCGTATCGTATCCCTGCTAACCTTCCCAGCCTCTTTAAAGGTATAAACTGACCGATGAGGATTAACGACCAGACGGCTAGATGGAGGAATAGAATAGAGGTGCGGAGAGGACACGATACCGTACACTAGAAGTACAAATTAAGGCACTCCGTAAATACAGAAATTAGAAAATATAGAAAAAAGACACATACCGTCTCCGCCGGCCACCAAACGTCAAATGCCCCGGCGAACTTGAGAAGGGCGCCAAAAATGATGGCGAAGTGGGCCAAAGATTCGACCAATCCCAGCGGCTGTTCATCGTTTGTCTAAATGAATTCATTTACCGCACGATGGAAATCAAAAGGGGTTATCTTCATACAGTCGAATTTTTATGATTACCTATCATTATCTCGAAAATCAACATCTCGAAAGTTCATTATCTCGAAAATTTCATACTGGTTTTACCATGAATTTTCTGGATTTCGGAGGCATTTCAACACAGTGAAATTTTCGAGACATGAACTTTCGAGATAATGAACTTTCGAGACGATAATGACAGAACCCCTTTCATAACATGAGATTTGATAATGCCGAATTTTCCTAGTGCCGAATGTTTATAACGCTGAAGGTTTATAACGCCGATTTTAAAACACCGAATTTTATAACGCCGAATTTCATAATACCAAATCCTGTTTATCGATGCCAATCTGCAAGTCTTTACCAAGGCATTTTTTCTGGTAGGGATAGGGCTTCAAGTCACATTTGCACTTAAATTTCGAAAAAATTGTGTTTATTACAATGATTTTACATTTCGATCGGCTACGTTACAGTCAAACGGTACAAAAAAATAACAACGAAACACAGGTTTGGTAGTGAAATCTTGACAGAAAATATTAGCATCGATAAACAGAATTCGGAATTATGAAATTCGGCATTATCGAAATTTCCAAAAGTGTGGTGTTTTAAAAATTCGGTGTTATGAAATTCGGCGTCATAAAAATTCGGCGTTATGACGGTAATTGAATAAACGGGTATTTCTTATCGGGTGAATTTCGTGAAAACCTAAAATTTCCAAGCCAAGCTTTCGGCCGACAAGCAGATATGGCCGCTCCCATTTTCCAAAATCGTACTTCAGGATTTCCAATGATTTTTTTACGATGTTTCCGAATGGGGAATATAAGAATATTTAGGAAAGTGTTTTTATAGTCCTGAAGTTAATTTTAAGCTGAATACTTTAAAAAATCGTTAGAAATTTGGTCGAAAAACGTCGAAAAATTCAAATCACCCCTCCCCCCCAGGAATCAAGTGCCCAAACACCGTACCTGTCGTGAAAATCGTAACACACTGGGTCTTGTCTTCCTTTCCAAGGTTTCGACTTGTCGACGGAGACGCCGAGTTTCCGCCTGAATAATGGAGGATGGACATTTTTGGGAACTGATGCCGTTTGGAAGGTGAGATGGCAGAGATCACTTCTCCTCCCCTCCAATTATGCGCAGCATCACCAACCTGTTCGGCTCTCAGTCGTCTATGCAGCCTCGCCGCTTCATCGACGGCATCTAAAAATCGACCAATTTCTCGAGAAAATTTCCGCTTCTCAAAAGTCAAAAAGTTTTCCAGGACCCGGGATCAAACCCGGGTCATCTGGCTGTCAGTTCTTCTTTTGTAGTCTGCAGACTGTAGTCTGTAGTCTGTAGTTTGTTTTCCAGGTTAGCTATATGCACTCAAATCGGCGGCCGGGGGTCGAACTCGGGTTGTTTGGGTAACAATTTGTAGCCTGGAGGATCGATTATAGCTTGTCGTCTGTAGTCTGGATGCCAGTTTAAAGGGATACCGACGGCACAGATCGATGACTCCTGCTCGACTTTTTGGCAAATATCCAACAGGGCAGAGACATGTCCAAATATCCAACAGGCCAGGGGCGAAACGCAGAACCATTTTCTTTCCCTCGCGTCACCGATTGCTAATGCCGTCATTATACCTTTATTGATTTACATGGAACTCCATGTCAAGAATCCAAAAGCAAAAGTGGCTTGCGGCCGGGGGGATCGATTGTATGGCTCGTATTTTGAAGTCCGTAGTGAATCCCGTCATTCCCTACCATTATGCCCATCACTAAGCGCCGAATCGCTCGATTCGGGGTGGGGCGAGGAAGGTTTCGCAGTTATTTGATCCATTTTTCGTTTGCTGAAATTCGGTAGTTTTTCGAGAAGCTATGGTCGAGGGAGATATAGCGAGAGAGAGAGAGAGAGAGAGAGGGAGAGAGAGAGAGAGAGGAGAGAGAGAGAGAGAGAGAGAGGGAGAGAGATTTAGCGAGGGAGGGAGAGCGAGAGAAAGAAAAAGCGAGAGCGAGAGAGAGAACAAGAGAGCAAGAGCAGGAGAGAGAGAGAGAGAAACTATACAAGAACTTCAAAAAGGCATGCCACCGGAGAGAATTCATGAAATTGATGATTTTGGGGCTGATCAACAGTCGTTTTACCCAGCTGCTGTCCAAGGGTCAACGTGCCCTTAGGGAATTTTGTGGCCCTAGCCAACTTTTGGCGCATTTTTTAGATCTTCTGTTCCTCTGCCTCTTTCTTCGAATGCTCTCCCCTATTCCAAAAACATTCAGTTGTTGCCTCAACCTGAGGAATGCTGCTGGAACGGATCGGTCAGACGATGACGTCGATCTACAACGGATTCCAACCATCGTTGAAACGAGTACTCCGTACGACTGCTTGCTGTGCTGTTGTCGTATCCGCGATGCTCCTAGTTTCCTATTTATTCGACTGTAATGATGTAAGTATTTATCGTCTATTACTCCCTCTCTCTCACTCTCTCCCTCTCTCTCTACTCAGATCCTCGGGTCCACCCAAAATCCGGTTGTATTCTACCTGGATTTGGGATGGAACGCATGGAAATCGGCTGGATTTCGGGTGGACGCACAGGAAATCGAGTGGAAACACGACGCAACGCGTGCCGCACGCGACGCGGCAAGTGGAAATCGAGTGGAAACCGGGCGGATCCGGTCGATTTCCAACTGATTTACCGTGCATTCACCCGCAATCCGGTCGATTTCCACGTGGAATCCGGTCGCGTCCGCTACTGGAATTCCGATCGATTTCGCGAGCAGATGCCGACCGGATTTCGGGTGGACCCGAGGACCTGAGATATATCTTTCTCTGTCTCACAAACAAACACGCGCTCGCTCCTCCTCTCTCACACATTCTCTCTCTCTCATTCTCGCTCTCGCTTCCTCGCTTAATACCAAATATGTACGAAGCAGCAAAAATTAATTAAATATGTACAAAACCATACCTTGGATTGCTTTTAGAACCCGATCCCGCCGAATCGTCGAGAGGAATGGAAACAAAAGGCATGTCCAGATCGACTATTTGGGAAAGGGCGAATAACCGAGTTTCGCTGAGGAATAGAGAGTGAGGGGCGGCTAGCAGAGACCATTGTCCTTGTTCCAAAAATATCATCCT